TTCCAACAACCCAAGAGATGACTCTATACATGGACATCACCAGATGGTCAACACAGAAATCAGACTGACTATGTGCTCTGCAGCCAAAGATGGAGAAGCTCTATACAGTCACTAAAAACTAGACCAGGAGCTGACTGTGGCTCAGAGCATGAGCTTCTTGTTGCAAAATTTAGGCTTAAATTGAAGAAAGTAGGGAAAAGCACTAGGCCACTCAGGTATGACCTAATTCATATACCTGATGAATATACAGTGGAGGTAACAAATAGATGTAAGGAATTAGATCTGATAGACAGAGTACCTGAAGAACTATGGACGGAGGTTCGCAACATCGTATAAGAGGTAGCAACTAAAACCATCCCAAAGAAAAAGAAAAGCAAGAAAGCAAAATGGCTGACTGAGGAAGCTTTACAAATAGCTGAGGAGAGAAGGGAAGCAAAAGGCAAGGGAGAAAGAGAAAGATACACCCAACTGAATGCAGAATTCCAGAGAATAGCTAGAAGAGATAAGAATGCCTTCTTAAATGAACAGTGCAAAGAAATAGAAGAAAACAATAGAATGGGGAGGACCAGAGATCTCTTCAAGAAAATTGGAGATATGAAGGGAACGTTTCATGCAAAGATGGGCATGACAAAGGACCAAAATGGCAGAAGAGGCAGAAGAGATTAAGAAGAGATGGCAAGATTACACAGAAGAACTATACAAGAAAGAGCTTAATGTTCCTGATAACCACAGTGGGGTGGTCACTGACCTCGAGCCAGGCATCCTGGAATGTGAAGTCAAATGGGCCTTAGGAAGTCGGAGCAACAACAAAGCTAGTGGAGGTGACAGTATTCCAGCTGAGCTATTCAAAATCTTAAAAGACGATGCAGTAAAAGTGCTACACTCAATATGCCAGCAAATTCGGAAAACTCAACAGTTGCCACAGGATTGGAAAAGGTCAGTTTACTTTCCGATCCCAAAGAAGGGCAATGCCAATGAATGTTCAAACTACCACACCATTGCACTCATTTCACATGCTAGCAAAATGATGCTCAAAATCCTACAAGCCAGGCTCCAGCAGTATGTGGACCGAGAACTACCAGAAGTACAGGCAGGATTTTGAAGAGGCAGAGGAACTAGCGATCAAATTGCCAACATACGCTGGATCATGGAGAAAGCTAGGGAGTTCCAGAAAAACATCTACTTCTGCTTCATTGACTATACTAAAGCCTTTGATTGTGTGGATCACAACAAATTGTGGCAAGTTCTTAAAGAGATGGGAGTGCCAGACCATCTTATTTGTCTCTTGAGAAACCTATATGCAGGTCAAGAAGCAACAGTGAGAACTGGACACGGAACCACTGATTGGTTCAAAACTGAGAAAGGAGTTTGGCAAGGCTGTATACTGTCGCCCTGCCCATTTAACTTATATGCAGAGCACATCATGAGAAAGGTGGGGCTAGATGAATCACCAGTTGGAATTAAGATTGCTGGGGAAATATTAACAACCTCAGATATGCAAATGATACCACTCTAATGGCAGAAAGTAAAGAGGAACTAAAGAGACTCTTGATGCGGGTGGAGGAAGAGAATGCAAAAGTTTTCTTGAAACTCAACATTAAGAAAACTAAGATCATGGCATCTGGTCCTCTCACTTCCTGGCAAATAGATGGGGAAGAAATGGAGGCAGTGACAGATTTTATTTTCCTGGGCTCCAAGATCACCGCAGACGGGGACTGCAGCCAAGAAATTAAAAGACGCTTGCTCCTGGGGAGGAAAGCTATGGCAAATCTAAACAGCATACTAAAAAGCAGAGACATGACCCTGCCAACAAAAGTGCGTATAGTCAAGGCTATGGTTTTCCCAGTTGCAATGTATGGCTGTGAAAGCTGGACCATAAGGAAGGCTGAGCACCGAAGGACTGAGGCCTTTGAATTGTGGTGCTGGAGGAGACTCCTGCGAGTCCCTTGGACCGCAAGGCAATCAAACCGGTCAGTCCTAGAGGAGATTAACCCTGACTGCTGTTTAGAAGGCCAGATAGTGAAGATGAGACTCAAATATTTTGGCTACCTAATGAGAAGGAAGGACTCCCTGGAGAAGAGCCTAATGCTGGGAACAATAGATGGCAAAAGAAGAAGGGGACGGCAGAGAATGAGGTGGCTAGATGGAGTCCCTGAAGCAGTGGGTGTGAGCTTGAGTGGACTCCGGGGGATGGTGGAAGACAGGAAGGCCTGGAGGAATGTTGTCCATGGGGTTGTGATGGGTCGGACATGACTTCACGACTAACAACAACATTTGTTATATTTTTATCCCACCATTTTTCCTTCCAAGGAACTCAAAGTAGCCTATATAATTCTCCTCCTCCGCTCATTCTTATCCTCACAACAACCCTGTGAGGTATGCTGGACTGAGAGTTTGTGACTGCCCAAAGTGAGCTTCATGGTAGAGTGGGGACTAGAACCTAGACCGCCTGAATCCCAGCTCTGTACCATTATGCATAACTAGCTAACCAGTATTAAAATACAATTCTATGGCTGGCTGTGGAATCTTGGGCGCTGTAGGACTTTTTCTGTTTAAACATATATAGGATTGTGTCCTAATATGTAAGTTGACCCTACCCTGCCACAGCCATTTAAGTTAACACTGATTATCCATTTCTATTGCTACTATATAATACACAGAATTGCAGCTTTTCTTAGCATATACAATATTCATTTCTAGTTTTTATGCATACCCCTTTGGATATGTTATTGTGGAGGAAATCTGAGACATTGTATTTCCTGTTTTCCTCATTTGTAAAGTTAGGAGGAGGTTGTCAACTGTCCAGAAACAAACAAAGCAGCCAGCCCTCACTTTGGCCTGCTTCTGTATCTTTTACAGCAGGTGGACCTTTAGAAATTGGTAAGCAGAGCTTCACTGTAGAGATAGACGTACTGATGACTATAGAACAGTCAGCTCAAGACAAGGGCTGATGAAAAAAATGAGGGGACAGCAACCCTGTCTGGATATGGCATATTGATATGCAGCGATGCAGACAGCCAGACAGGATGTCCTAATTGTAAACTTTTCAAGGTGTTATATGGCCATACCTGAACAGCCTGCTAAACAGCCAGGCTATTTTTGTCAAATTTTGTTAGCATGTCCTTGTAACCAAAAAGTTTAGGACCTGTGTCCTGGTATAGAACAAAGACATTGCCCATGGCTTAATATCTTAAAAGAGAGGTGCAGGCATGGTTTCAGTAGGTGCATGTAAAGGTGTGTGTGTGTGTGTGTGTGCGCGCGCGCGCAAGATTCAGTTTAGATTGATACACTCCAAGGAAAAGTAGTGCATTTTAAGAACATGTATTGTGATTTTCTTTGTTTTTACACTTTGGAAGTCACACAGCCATGTTAGCAATATAAGTCACCCTTTAACAAGTTTAATGTCAGGAAAGAGATTGTTCCTTTGGCTGCAATCCTTAAGGGGTCGTCTGTCCATCCGTCCGTCCGTCCTTCCTTCCCTGTCCATTCTGAACAACTGTGCCCAAGGATTGCTTTGTTCATTGTTTATAAAAGTTCCTCGCAGTACTGCTCTGGGCTTTCAGGTGGGCCAAGACCTTAACACTTCCACGGCAACCTGTGGGTGGCAACCACGGTTTCTGCAACATCTCCTCCTTCCCTACTAATGGAGCATCTTTGCCTTGACAACAGGAGGGCCTGCATTCATCTCTGCAAAAGCAACTTTAAGCCCAGGGCATGTCTAGTTGATGAGTTGTTGGGTCATGCAGAGAAACAAGTGCTTGGGGGAATAAGCCTGCATAACTTGAATGTGTGTGTGTGTGTCCTGAAACGGTGCTTTTGGAGTGGGCAGCATAGCCCTCCTGACACAAAGTCTAAGATTTTGGGCAGGTTGGGGTTGGCAGCAGTCCCTTGGGCTTCAAAACCATGGTGCGCATGATCGGAGGCACTGTGCAATTTCCGTGTTCCAGAGTTGACCCCCCTCCTGAAAACAGCTTCTGTTCCATTAAGCTTTGGGTCCAGTTTCTTTCACACCTGTCATTTCTTTTGCTGTCAGTGGTCAGTCCGCTGTGTTAGCTGGTGGTTGTGGTCTGAGAGGGAGGAAGCTTCCCTGGGCTGCTGCATCTGGACCAACAGCAGTGGCCAAGAGCCCGTGGCCCCCTTCAGCCTCTTCTGGTCATTTCATAGCAGGACCTGCAAAGCTTGCCAAGGTTGTGCAAGGAGGTGGCCAGACCACCAGGCAAAGTGGGGCGGCTCCCCTCTGCAGTGGATTCTGAGATGCACTGAATTAAGGATTCTGAACAGAATGTGCCATAGGGTGGCCATGCGTCCTCTTTTACAGAGGACCTTCTTCTATTTGATGGACTGCCAGGGAGCTATTCTCCAGGTGCAGGTGGCCTCTGTTTGAAGACCTGTCTAGTCCAATTCTGGTTGAAAGATAAAGAACCACCAGAACAGTTACCCATTAACAGTGAGTGCCTGCACGGGCATGCAGCTCACTTAGTCACAGTCTTCTGCACTCTAGGAAAATGTGTTTCTATTAAAATTATAATAACTGTTTTAAAATTTGCATGTAACCATATAATGCAGTATATGCACACATTATATAAATGGATGCTCTCTCTTCCCCTTTTCGTGATGTATTTCCTCTTGATTTGGTGATTCCTAAGTGACTACCACAACTGGAGACTGTTGGATCCAATCCATGAAGCGCAATATTGCCTCAAAGTCCCTCATTTCATAAATACTTTAACAGGGGAACAAACCTCCTGATGGCTTGTTGTTCCCAAATTGTGTTATGGTTCTGTTTTTCTATCTCAGACACTGAGATGTCTTAGTTCAGGCCTGTGTGGAATTTTTGGTTTGATGGTTGTTTGGTATCTTGTGAAATAGAGGGGAAGGAGCAGGAAGTTTCTGGCCTTGGAGTCATGGGAATGGGCTGACCCCATTTCCATGATCCTTGTGAATGTGTGTGCGTGACATTTTTCTCCTCCTCCTCTTCCTCCTCTCATCTCTGTCTCCAGCTCCTTCTTCACTGCCCGCTCATAGCTGTTCGTAATGCCGCTCGGGAAAGGCTGGAAGAAAAAGGTTGAGGACATCACCAGTGTCTACAACATCAAAGAGAAGCTGGGCGCGTGAGTGAACAAAGCAGCCTGGCAAGAGACCTGTGTAGGCTGTGTGGGTCCTGCTGGGATCTGGGGCCTCCTTTCCTTGCTCCTGGGCTATGCCACCTCTGCCAGTGCCTTTCTTCCAGAGTGGGAACTGCTCTCTTCTTTCTCCACCCACCATAACATTCTCTCTCTCTCTCTCTCTCTCTCTCTCTCTCTCTCTCTCTCTCTCCCTCCCTCCCTCCCTCCCTCCCTCCCTCCCTCCCTCCCCTCCTTGTCTTCCAACCTCCCCATCCTTAAACTAAACCAAATCTGACAGGGCTTGCATAATGAGGCCAATCCGTGATTCCTCCTACCGTCCCAGCACCACCTCGGCATCAGGAACCGGGGGAAATATTAAATACGGCACTCAGCCATCCCTAGCCAGATGCCCCCTCCTCCGATGAACCTTACTGCAACTCCCATCCTCTCCAATTATTTGGCTGGGGGTGATAGGGGTTGTAGTTGGACATATCTGGAGGATGCCCAGTTGGGGGAAGGGTGCTTGAACATAAGATTTTTTTTTTCTGGGGTGAGGGAAGAGTGACGTGTAGCTTTGTGCTATTCTAGCGGGTTGGTCATGTATTCCCAAGACTTGGGGGATGCCACCCCATATCTGCCCATCTGGGTCCGGCCACCCGCTGGTTTCTTCAGCCTGCCCTCCCACAGGCCCTCCGGCTGCACGAGCAGCTGGACTTGCTCCTGCTCTTCTGCAGAGAGCGACCCGACCCACCCGGGAATGCTGCAGCCTGTTTTGCCTCATTTGCATGTTGGCATCTCATTGGCTGAGAGAGGCTCCCAGACATGTCTGACGTGCATGGGACAATAATAGACGGAGGGTGGGGTGCAGTGGGGTTAACCCTTTCCTAGCTGAGCCTATAAATCCTCCTCCTCTGAATTTGAATGAGGGCAGGTGGGTGGGGGAAGCAGCATTCATGGTGCTTTCAGGAGAGCTTGCCTGATGGTGTACTGGAGTTTGACTCCAAAATCAATCCCACACATATTTCTGCCCAAGTGTAAACACAGGATACACATGTGTGAATCTCTGTAGCATTGTTTTCTCTATGCCTTGCACGTGGTAATGAGCCTCATCTAGCATGTCCTGTCACCTGATGGCACTTATCCTTTCTGTTTATGCAAGTCATAAGGTATCAAGGGGTCCAGAATGCTGGACTAGATGGACCTACGGTCTGATCCTTCTTATGTAAAGGGCCCTTCTGTGAGCACATGTGCCAAATCTCAGAAAGTTGTGTCACTTCTGATTTCTGGTAACATTTCATCCTCCACCTTCCCCTCCCCTTGAAATAATTGGGTTTAATTGCAAAATGACATTTTAACTGCTGCTGTTGCTGGCAGTTGTTTCTTTGCCCCAGCAGAATTGGGTTGAAGCCAAGATCTTTCATGCTCAGTCCAGTCTTGTATTGGTTGGCAAAGAGTTTCCAGAAATATTACCATGTTAAAAATGCTGTATGTTGAAAATGCTATACTAGAAGCAACACCGTCTTTTCTCCCTCTCCCTCTCACTTCTGGCTGAGAAACACGCTAGATGTTAAAGCAAGTTCAGAAGCTGATTCCTGGGATTGTGACTTCTAGGCTGCAATTCTGTACCAGACTTTTTGAAAGAAATCCCATTGAATTCATTGGGACTTACTCCTGATAGATTTGTGCTTCATGCTGCTAGCACAGTTCATTTTGGGTTTTGTCTAATGGACCATAATGACTGTCTTCATCTTAGTGAAATCTGAGAAACCGCTATGCGTGTGCTCATCCTGTCTCTCTTCTGCTGCTTTTCTCTTGCAGAGGTGCCTTTTCAGAGGTGGTCCTGGCACAGGAGCATGGATCCCAGCACCTTGTAGCCCTCAAATGTATTCCTAAGAAAGCCCTACGGGGGAAGGAGGCAGCTGTGGAGAATGAAATTGCTGTACTTAAAAAGTAAGGCAGTGTATCTTTCTGGCTACATTCCTTCTCTCAGAGTCATTTCAGAGTTCTGGTTGTTAAGTGCCCCAAGGCATATATGGAAGACCTGAGTCATCAGAGTCCAGTCCGCACAGATTAGGTTTGCCAGATGCAAAAGAGGCTGAGGCTGCTAGACTGTTAAGAGTTATATTATTAATAGCACCATTACTGCTATTTTATTAGCACCATTATTTTTATTATTAATTAACAGCAGAGGGAATTTTGGCAGGGATAGCTTGTGATACATGCCTCAAGCACACATCTGGGATAAGGAGCAACATCCGCCTCCTTTAAGCCAAAGAATGTGGCTTCTGTCTAGCTCTCCCTTTTTTGAGGAATTATTCATGGACAAGTCCTTCAGGGTTGAAGGAGGAGCACAAGAAGGCCTCCTTTAGAGGGGAAGATCTGATGGCTGCAGCCTTGAATTTAGAATAACTAAGCAAGACAAGAATAGGACATTTGTGTGTGTGTGTGGGGGGGCAGGGTGTTCATTCATAGGTCTGCCATAAGTCGAGGATGATTTGATGACACATAACAACAATAGTCTTATTTTTTACTTTTCTATCCTGTCCATCCTCTGAAGAGCGTAGGGTGTTGTACAGGTGCTCCCCCACCTCCACACTGCATTCCTGGGATGCAGGCAGGACCAGCTTAAAGCATTTTGCTCCCACAAGCAAAGGACACACAATGCCTCCTCTCTTTCCATGTACAGAAGCCAACTAATGGAATCTTACTTGAACTGACCCTCCCTGAGCCAAATTTCACTCTTATGCTGCCAGTGGGCAGTAAGCAGAACAAACGGTGCACACTGTCCTTCCTCTAACACCTTGCAGCTGCTTCTTGCCCTCTTCCCAGCTCCTGCTGGCTGAGATAACCACCTACTTTGCCTAAGGATAGGGCTGGCCCTGGAGGTCAGTTAAGGTGAGCAGTCATGACTGGCCCAAGCTGAGCCAAGGCCTGAATCTGCATCTCCCTAATACAGGTCCAGCCCCACACAGACTCTCAGTATCTTGTTTGTGTGTGCACTTATCTTTTATGATGTTCTCAACACACACCCTGTTAGAGCCTGGCCTTCTGAGTGTCCTTCACTCCCCTGTCGCTCAGTTTCTGGTCATCTTTCCGGTGTTGCAGGATTCAGCATGAGAATATTGTGGCTCTGGAGGACATTTATGAGAGCCCCACTCACCTGTACCTGGCCATGCAGCTGTGAGTAGCATTCTTCTTGCACTCTGCATGTGGTCCTTTTTTCAAGTATGGGGTGGGGGATTATTCTTTGGAGGCTGTTAGTCCTTTCTGGAGAGACTGGAAATGGCAGGTGTAATGGTTTGTTTAGCACATCTATGTAGATAGTTTTGAGTAAAAACGAAAGCAAGAACCAAATCTCCCCATAAAAATAAGGATAGGCCCCTGTGCCCACTGAGCTTGTAGTACAGCCACTGACAGGGGAGAAAAGCGGGGGAAGGGAAGCAAGAGAGGTGCAAAGTTTGAGGAAGCAAACACAGCTGTAAGTGCTCAGGCCTTGTCATGGTCGTGGGTGGAGGCTAAGGGGTTATGGAAAATGCTCCAGTCAAAAGGAGACTTTGCAAGGAGAATGATCTGAAGGGAGAAAGTCAGCATTCTGCAGCCTCCAGTCGGAGGATCCCAGCTCACTGGGATCAGCATTTAATTAAATTAAGCCAGGTGTTGCTCTTGGGGAGACTAGGCAAGAGGGCACACTAATAAATAAGAACTTTATTGCCTCTCTTAAGCGAGAACAGAATAACTGCACATTAAGTCTGTTGCCACCTAGTGGCTAAACCACATAATGACACTATCCACAGAATTCCTGGACTTTTTTTCCAGTTTAATTGAAAACGGGCACATTTCATTATTAGATTAGCCTGGCTGCTGATGCAGGTTTAGAATGTAAATCAGCTGTCTCTGGCTTGCAGTGTGACAGGAGGAGAACTCTTTGACCGCATTATTGAGCGGGGTTACTACACAGAAAAGGACGCCAGCCAGCTCATCCGGCAGGTGCTGGAGGCTGTCAACTACCTGCATGATCTGGGCATCGTTCATCGGGATCTCAAGGTGAGAATGCAAGCAGCACAGGGAAGCTTGGGGGCTTCTTGTAGGTCTTTGCCAAAAAAGGTGAGTGCAGGAATCCCACAGACAAGGATCCTGAGGAGAAGGTGCTCTGACAGCATTGGGATCTTATCAAGAAAGAAGTGTGCCTTCCAGATACTTGGAGAGCATTGCCATTTAGTCTTCTCCAGATATTCTGGATGACAGCTCTCACTATCTGCTTGGGATGCACCAGTCTGTGGAATGTTGCCCTAAAACTAGGTGGCCTCTTCCCTCAGTCCTGCAATCTGATAATCTCAGCAAACATAGCATGGGAAGAATCACTTGCTGAGATTATAGTTCCTTTCTGCTTGCTACCTTGTTTTCTTGATTATGAGCCACTACCTGAATATAGAACTGTGCAGAGGAGAGAGCAGACTGCTGCCATTCCATGGGGTAAGGTGAAGTCAGCTTCCAAAGCTCTGAAAATAATGACACCAATGTACATCCTATGTATAAAATTCAGATCTTGAGTTATTTCTCCTCATTTGAGGAGATTTGGAATGGAAAACCTAAAGGGGAGGAAAGGGGAGGGGGTGAAAATGGAGGAAGTATCATTGTTCATATTGTAGGAGAGAATCAAACTGTTAATAAGAAAACAATGTGATATGGGTAACCCCATTTTGTTTCGCCCCCAAACAGCCCGAAAACCTTCTCTATGCCACTCCATTTGAGGATGCCAAAATTATGATTACAGACTTTGGGCTGTCCAAGATTGAGGCTGATGGGATTATGTCCACAGCGTGTGGTACCCCCGGCTATGTGGGTGAGTGTGAGACTGGTGAAGGGTGAGGAGGCTGGGAGCAGGGCCAGGTAAGATGGGCGGCACCTCTCTTATGGCAAACCTCCTCAGGTAAGTGGAGGGAGCCCCCCATGTATGAGTCTCCTCATTTGTAATTAGAGGCATGGCTGGCTACTCTCTTTCCAGGGCTAATAAAATGTAGACACAAGAAGTTCTAGCTCTCTGAAGTATGGGCAGGGGCATGGCGGGCTGTGGAGGTCAGATGGGACAAGGCCTTTAAAACGTGGACATGGTGAGAAAGGACAAGACCAAAAAAGATAGAGGTGGGTGCTGTGAAGTGAGGAAAGACAAGGCCTAGAATGCAGAACATTGTTCCATTGACAGCCCTCCCATTACATTCTCCGAGGATGTGGGTGAATAACTAGCTTTTTGTGCTAAACATGCACACCACTCCACAACAAATAAAAATCTGTGGCAAGATCAACCAGACACTGTGCCCCGTAAAACATATTTTCAAATCTGTATAAATTAGGTATGTATTCTTAATGGCTTCTATTTTAGACAGGATATTTTATTTATTTATTTATTTTTCGATTTATATCCTGCCTTTTTCCTACAAAGGGCTCAAGGCAGCTTACATCATTCTCCTCCTCCATCTTATTCCCACAACAACCACCCTGTGAAGTAGGTTGGGCTGAGAGTCTGTGACTGGCCCAAAGTCACCCAGCTGGCTCCATGGCTGAACGGGACTAGAACCCAGATCGTCTGAGTCCGAGTCCCATGCTCTTAACCCCTACACCACACTGGCTCTCACCATTCAGTTTTGGTGTTTCACAACATTTATTCTGTTCCCACCACTCAGGAGGTGGCAAGGAGCTGCACAGAGCAGCGCTGTTGCACACCAGCCACAAAGAACGCAGCTCCTCTTACTTTTGAGACCTTGCTGGCCATTAGCCATACATGTTTCGACGTATTTTTCTGACCTGTAAGACTGACAACCATTTTTTGCCCCTTTTGATGTTCCAGACAATGTCGAGAGATTTTGAGGGAGCCGGATTCTGCAGCTTGGCTGCGCCCCTGTACAACTGCTGTGCTGTCCCTAATTTATCAAATCCCTCCTCATTGTAGGCTAGTGCCCCAGTTGAGGCCTATACAAGAAACAGGCTGAGTGGAAGTTAGGGATGCCATAGGGCTGCCCCCTGCTGCCAAGGCTGCTTCCCTTCATGGTGTTCAGTGCACAAATCCAGTGCAAGAGACATGGCCGGCTAGTCTCAGGGTCCACACCCCTGCAGGGCCCCCAGAATCACTCCTCTGCCTCACCCAGGAGTCCTGCTCTCTCACTTGGACCTCATTGGCAGTAGTGAGGAAGGGGCACGGGGGACGACCCAGCTTCCTTGCTTATTAGCTCTCTGCCTGTCAAATAACAAGGAGACAGTGGGTGAGGAGCAAGATCAGCAAGGAGAAGGTAGACCCATTGACCAGGGGGATCTACTGAGGCTGCCTTGTCCAAGAGCCCTCAAGAACCCGGGGCCATGACTGACCACAGGCACAAGACTTAGCAGTAGCTGGCTTCCCAGATCACGTCAGCAGAGGCTGAAGCTGTGCTGGATTTAAATGACACAGCGAGGTGCTGGGCCCAGATCTGTGTGTGCGTACCGGGGGGCTCGCCACATGTCCCAGAAGGAAGCCCTGCTCCATCACTACCGCTGTGGAGGGACAGGGTTGTGGTTGCCCGATAGAAAGAGAATGGTGCTCTGTGTGTGTTCAGAGGTTTTTCTCTTTGTACAAAAGAAGGCCTTAGTCACAGAGGGGAGGGCTAGCCTTCAGTGGGCGTGGTTAAGAGGAGGGAAGGCAATTCACTTGCCAGCAGGTGACATGGTGGGAGAGGACAAGGCGAAAAAATATGGGTGTGGGTGTGGGGAGGCAAGTGGGATCAGGAAAGGGGGTCTGATGGTTTGATGGAGGCCTGCAGTGCAGCGCTGCGCTTTCCTCTCACTCTTGGTCTTCTGCAGCCCCTGAGATCCTGGAGCAGAAGCCGTATGGAAAAGCTGTGGACTCCTGGGCGCTTGGCGTCATCTCCTATATCTTGTGTGTATCTCTCCCCTCCTTCCTTGAGCAACCTCCTGCATGGTGGCACTTGGAGCCACCTCTAGCAGGCACTCCAGACATCTCGGCATGCGTGCGCGAGATCTGACGCCTTTGCTCTGCCTGGCAGGCTGTGTGGTTACCCGCCCTTCTACGATGAGAACGACTCGGAACTGTTCAACCAGATCCTGAGAGCAGAGTATGAGTTCGATTCCCCTTACTGGGATGACATCTCCGAGTCAGGTGAGTGGCCTCCTGAGCCAGCATGGTGGCATCAAAGCAGAGACTGACCTCGCCTCGGCTCCCAGGGCTGAGGCAATCCTTTCCTCTCCCCACACTGGAAAGCCACCCCAAGGACTGAGCAGCGGTGGCAGGCAGGAGTGCCACCTCTCAGCCACTCCCCTCATCCTTCTTGCTCATCCTTTGGCCCTCCCGAGTTGCCAGCTTCAGGATGCCCAGAAGCTGTCAGCCACTGGCCCTTCCTTTGGTGAGGTGCCAGGAGTGGGAAGTTCTCCACAGATGCAAAATGCCTCTTTGGCTAGAGAAGCAGTTTTTTGTTTATTCACAATATTATATCCCACCTTTCTCATAAAACTCTGGTCACACACCATTCCCAGGCACGCTTCCCTCCAAGCACTGACCAGACCTGTTTTGCTTCAGCAAGGTGAGGGCCTCATGTGCCTTTAGTCCATAGTCTGGGACATGTTTTGGGTGTGCTTGCAAGGCTCATCTTCTCTGCCTCCCTTCTTGAGGTGTTGGAAACTATGTGAGCTTCGTCTGTGCATTCAGACCTTTGTGTGCATCATATCCCCTGACTACAGTAGTTCTCTCCCTGTCAGGTACCTTTGATGGCACATAGCAATAGCCAGTCTTGATTCTCTGCTTGTTTGCATAGCAGGCAGTGGCTGAGCAGTGGGAGTTTAGGCGGCAACACTGTCTTCATCACCCTGCACCCCCCAGCCTAATTCCAAATACCCTCTGCAACCCTTCGGTTCAGATCTCTGGCATGAGTGATCTGGCCCTCCCCTGGCAGCCTGCTGCATGGGGAAGAAGGAAGGGGATGTGGGAGAGAGTGAGAGCGAGAGAAGGGATGCAAAAAGTGGAAGAGAAAAAGGAGACCTGTACCCACTATAGGTCTCCCCGGCCCATCACTGGCTTCAGCCACCCCCCCTCCCCCCGCCAACCCTACAGTGGATTGGCCTGAGCCAGGTGGCCCGGAAGCAAATCTACACTAGGGCTGACCTTGCACTTTCTGTCTCCCAGCCTCACTTCCTTTACAGTAGCTGCTTGTGGTGGAGACGGAAGCCTGGGCTGTGGAGGAAGCAGGGCTGAGGGAGTCCTGATGAGGCATGCCCTGGGGGGTGGGGGGAGCACATCCCCCTTAGTGGCTCATGGGGGGGGTTACCTGGGGGCAGAGTGCAACAGCAGCAGGACTTTGAGCACTGGCAGGTGACTCAGTCCATCATTATTTTAAGGTCCTACCGTACTCTGGAACCCGGGGAAGGGGGGTTGTTTTGTGGGAAGCTAAAATGGCAGCTCAGCCCAGCTTGGAGCACTGTGCTGGAATTTTGTTGAAAGGGGGCAGAGTGGCTCCAGCTGTGAACCATATGAGGCTGCTGGAGCGGTTGCCCTGGGAGGCAGTGAGTAGGTGCAAATCATGTCCCTGTTTATTTATTTAGAGACGCATAAAACACCCTTCATCCTGCAGGCGTCTGGGTGGGGTGTATTCCAATATAAAAAGCATGCTATTTGCAAAACAAAAAAGTAGCAAGTAACTCTTTAACCAGCAAACCAAAATGTAGCAAACTATAAAAAAGATACGATGGGAAGAAAATAAGCATTTAAATCTGAAAAAAAAAATCTGGTGCAAAATAAGATGAGTCAGTGAACCAATCAAGTGGTTCTCCAAGTCACTTGCAAAGAACCATATGTTGACCTCCATATACATACATATATCTGTTTTATTATACCATGTATAACCCTCTTTTTGGCCTCTTGTGAGGAACTAAAAGTGGCTTACATAGTCTTTGTAATCCCACAACAACCCTGTGAGGTAGGTTAGATTGAGAATTAGTGACTGGCCCAAAGTCACCCCATGAACTTCATGGCTGAGTGGGGACTAGAACCTGGGTCTCCTGAGTTCTAGTCCAGTGCTCTAACCACTATGCTATACTCATTTTGTATGTGACCTCCACTCTTTCAGTGTGATGGCTTCAAGAATGTTTGCAGGCTGATTCTCCCAGAGATAACTTACATGACTGAATGGCAACAATGGCAACCACCCCAAAACATAGAGAATGAGATGTCAGAGAGAAGGCCTGGTTAGACAATGTCCTCTTAAAATGCTAGTTTTCTGTGTGGAAAGTATATTTTGCTTGGTGAAGTCTTCAGTGCTGCAAGCCCTCCAAACAGCAGTCTCGAAGTTGTACAAATCCAAGCACAAGGGAGAACCAGGGCCCTCTTTCAGCAGATGGCTTTTTGAAACAGCAGCAGCTGCAACATCAGGACTGTGTCACCAAAGACAGAAGGAAAGAGCATCTCACACGGCACAATCCTGCACACATTTAGACAGTTAAAGGGCTTACAACTCCCAGCACACTCCAGCCAGCACCCTTAATCTTCTCCCCACTTCCCCCCAAATCTCCCCTGCCACATTTAACCGCAAAGTGGCAGTTTGGTAAGCAAGGTAGTTGGCATGGCCATGCTGGGAAGAGAAGCGCTTCTGCCTTCTAGATTATGTCTCTGCTTCCACACAGCCAAAGATTTCATCCGGCACCTTCTAGAACGGGACCCTGAGAAACGGTTCACATGCCAACAAGCCCTGCAACATCCCTGGTGAGTCCTGCCTGTTTTTGTGGAGCTCTTGTTGGGAAGGGGAAGCAACACGGGTCAGGCGTCAAGATCCCCCCAGCTGGGATTTCTGTTTGGGAAGGTCATTGCACATGGTGCGGGGAAGAAAAGTTTCTTGCCTCTCTGCTCCTTATGGTAGAGCTATAGAAGAAAGCCACATTAGAGAAAGTACATGTTTTGTTTGTATTTCATGATCCAAAATGTTTACATTTTGAATATAAACTTTCATACTGTATGAGCAATTATGGCAAAGAGTAGATCTGAGTAGAGATGCAGCCATGAGGAGGGGGAGCTTAAAATCCGTTTGTTCTTTCTTATTTCCCCTGCCCCATGGCTTTTTTCCGAATGAGCTAAATATCATTTTGAACCCTGTAGTGGTTGGAACAGAACTGCTGGAGGTGATCTGTATGTATGTATAGTTCTGCCTCTGTAGTTTCTCCACTCAGTGTTTCCTTTCTCTAAACTTTCCTTGCTTCACATGTTGAGGCTCTGTTAGACTTACCTGTGCATAACATGTAGATAATCCATCCTTCCAGAGGAAGGAAAATGCCAGACTGAACTGCCTTTGTTTTCTATGCTTTGATTCTGCATCCCTCTGCTGGATGCTCAAGGCACCATGTGCCAATCTAAAGTTCAATGGCTTATGAAAGTTCAATGGTAGCATTCCTACCAGGAATGCAAGACGTGGCCAGGCAGCCAAGCAGAAGACCCCTTATAACTGACTTGGGATAAAGATCAGTACTCTATCTCCACCCTGCATCTGGTGACCCTGCCTCTCCTTTCACACATTACCTGCATTCTGTGTGAAATGGAGGTGGAACATCAGTGCACGGAAACTTCCGCATGTACATCTGAAGTGCAGAGACTGCACGTTGCACATCAGCTCAGCCAGATAATTCCGTGGCCCCGATACCAAAAGGAAATGCTCTAATGGAAGATTTGGCCCTGCTTCATGTGTGTATCAGGATCTCTGGGGATACTGCTCTGGACAAAGATATTCATGGCTCTGTGTGTGAACAGATTCAGAAGAACTTTGCTCGCAGCCAATGGAAGGTAAGTGGGAAAGTTTAACCTGAGATGGAGAACGTTCTGTTCCTCTTTGCAGTGCTTCATTTTAAAGCAAGTGAAGCTGCAGTTCAGCCTTATGTATTCCTAGGCCTAGATTAGCCTTCCCCAACCTGGAGGTCTTCAGGGGCATTTGGACTGCAACTCCCAGATTTCCCATCCAGCAGGGCCATTTACTGGGAATTTTGGGTGTTGCAGTCCAAATATGTCTGGAAACACAAGGTTAGGGAAGACTGGCCTAGATGGATGGTGAGAGTCATTCTAGGTCTTCCCAGATACACTTCATTTATCATCACAATGCACAGAGAGGGCCTGAAACAAAATGTTGTAAAGCAATATAACCTTTTCCACATGTGTGTTCCAGCCAGGTATGCCTTCCCCTAGGAACACCTGTCTTTCTCTTCTGTTCCAGCTGACACTCAATACTTTATGTCTGAGCCACAGAAAATTTACTGCCTAAGATTTACTTTTAAAATTTGGGGTGGGGTGTGCATTTCCGCAAGTACCGGGGTTTCCTGAGCATGCCAGCACCTCCTTTTTATCTCTTCCCACTGGCCTCCGGTTCTGCTGTCAGTCACCACTTGAGATTGTTATTAAAAGAAGGGCTGCTATTGCAGGGTTGGGCCCAGCTTCAAGGGAGAGGGCTTCCTAGTCAAGTAGATAAAGCTGGCCTTCCAGTAGAAACAACTGTTCTGCTAACTGTGAGACTAGGCAAGGCAGGAAGGAACGAGTGATGGATATTGCTGCCAGCTTTTGTTTAGCTTTGCTTTTGCTGGCTCTGCTTCTGCTCCTTAAATAGGGCAGGGAAAGGCTTAGGAAAAGCACCACCTGCTTCAATCCTGTCACTTCAGCTTCATGCCAAGAAAAGCTTTTGTTTCCCCATTTCCATCTACAGCATCTTCATTCCAACTTTGGGTCTTTTGGTTATTTGCTGGCATGGAGATTCCTGCTCCAGAGCTGTAGCTTTCCTATATCCCATCTAGGTTTGTCAGCGTTTCAGCTGGCCTTGGTAGCTGTGCCTTGAACAGTGCTTCGATGTGCAGATGTTTCTTCGGAGAAAATGCTCACCCCTGCACTGACTTGTTGATTTCTGCCACTCAAGTAGGCCGAGCAGTTCTTTGTACAGCTGGCTGCTTTAACACATACCTGTTCTTGCAGCGAGCAATCAATGCCACATCCTTCTTGCGCCACATCACCAAGCTGGGACCTGGTGCAGAGGGAGAAGAAATTGGAGAGACCACATCTGGAGGACAGCATGGAAAATGGTGACCAGAGAGGTGGGTGTGGTAGAGAACTGTATTGACGGGCAGGGGCTGCTGGGGTCTCAGGTGCCTCTGGAGGGAAGGGTCCTTGAGTGAACACCAGAAGACTTCGTGCAGCCCCTTTGTCTTTTCTAACTCTGTGGAGTTTCCATCATAAGAAAGGGGATGGAAGTATTGGGAAATCACAGGAGAGTTAGAAATATGTGTTGTTCTGAACCCATGTGAAAAAAAACAAACCAGGCCAAGCAGTCGCTCTGTAAAAACCTTGTCTGCAAGCACCCTTAGGCAGTAGCACCGGCACTTGAATTTTTTACTGCCCCATACCTTTAACAGCAGCTGGTTAAGTTAAGCAGATAGAACATTCCCAAGCAGGGAAATAAAGAAAAATGTTTTGCCTCCTTGATTTCTGGCTGCCAAGCTTCTGTTAAAGGCAATGAATCAGAAGCTATGCAGCTGGATTGCCTAGCTGGGAGCCATGTATTCAAGAAAGATTTATCTGTGTTTTGGTTCCACACCCCACTTCCCATCTTCTTGACAACGGCAGATTAAAGACAGACGTTGGGCTCATGTCTAACAGGCTTCCTATATTTATTTTTAAAACTGAGCTAGGAAAATGTCAAATCTAACTTACAGTCCACAATAAATCATTTAGGTTGTCTATAGCTAAGAATGGAGAACCTTTTTCAGCCTGGAGGACAAATTCCATTTGGAAGAAGCTCTTGGGGGCTGCATTCCAGTGGCGGGAGGGCCAAAGACAAAAGGGGAGGAGCCAAAAGTACCAGTCTATTTTAGTTGAAAGTGCTTACTGCCACTAATCAAGCTTTAAAAGAGTTATTTCAGTCTTTTGAAATAGAGGGAAAATGTGAAAAGGCCAGGAAACAACAAAGCATTGGCAGCCACGGAAAAGAGCTTGTGGGCAAGAAAAGGGGCATGGCCTATTGGTGAACCCCAGAGGGCCAGATCTGGCCCCTGGCCTGAAGGTTCCTCACCACTGCTGTTTAGTCAACATGGTTTTTCAGATGCACACAGTTTACCTAGGTGGGTGTGTGCTTGCACGCTTCCATGTCCCTTTGGCCCTAGGCATCCAGTGAATGAATTCCCCCCAACCTAGACTGAGCGAGCCTATGGCTGCTTCCACGAATGCTGAGCCAGGGGACAATTGTGCAGCAGATGCAGCCCCATGTACAACATCAGCTGAAATGCAGGCTGGAGCAATTGCCATGTAGAGGTTTAGGGTGGGTCCTCAGCATAGCTCCTGCGCCAGGTCATCGAGGAAGCACAAGGCTTCCCATGCTGGTTCCTTCAGCTTCCTCTGCTGCACTGTGTGAGTAGCTTTGGCTGGCATAGCCGAAGCCCAAGAGCAGAAAATGAGGCCAAGGGAACGGTGTGGGTTGAAGTGAGAACTGCTGTATGAGAGTCCCTCTTTGGCAGGGGCAGGAGGCAACTTGGAATGGCCCGGAAGCCATTCCTGCTGCCGTGCTGCCAGCAAAAAAGAGAAAAGGACAGTTTGTCAGCCGTCTTCTGAAAAGGAGCTGAATTTGGCCATTTCAGCATCCCATCGTGGTTTGCTGCAGAAAATGGGTAGGGTTTTTGCTGCCACCACCACAAGGTGGGTTGACGTGGGGGGTTTCAGGGCCGTATGCAGCCTGTGGGCCGTGCATCACCTGACCCTCCTGTAAGGCACTGGGCTGTGCAGAGAACTCCAGCTCACCCCCGGGCTGCCACCTGCCCAGTGCACCTGGTGGGCACCGGCACTCCAGCCCTGGCTGCACATGCACAGCATCGCAAGGAAAACAGTGTAGCTGGAACTGAGGCACCGGCAGCCTATAGCAAGTGCAGGACTGGGCAGGGGGAGGGAAACTGGGGAGGCCTGGTGGATCTGATGAGGTTATTCCGGGAGCAGAGCTGCAAAGGTGGGGACACTGTGAAAGGGGGCGGGGCTTGTTTTCACGGCAGCCTCTTGTCTCTAACCTGTTCCTTGCCATCCACAGGTGCCCGGAGATCCTGGGCTGCTGCCCTTTGCATGAGCTACCCTCCTGCATGCGGCTTCACGACCATGACGCTGCACCAGCACTCGTGCCCAAGGGGTGGGGGTGCCCTTCCATTTCCTGTTCCCCTGCCTGGGGATATCTCTGCTCCGAAGGGGCCCAGGAGTTAAGTCAAGTCAACAGCTGTCCAGCTTGCTCTTAACAGGGTCTGCCTTTGCCCTGCCTAGGACCAAAATCCAGCCCCACCCTTGAGACTGGTGAACCTGTCACACTCCCTCTGCGTTACTCACCTCACTTCTGTCCATGTCAGCCGTAAAGGCTAAGAAACTTGCTGGAGGATCCGGGGAGAAATGTTGTAGTGGGAAGGTAGAGGCATCCCTCCCTGTCCCAGTTATATAATAACTGGGACATTTCCAGAGTAGATTTGAGATCATGTTGGGATAATCCCTTGTGGGAAAAGAAATGTTAGCTTCAGAGCTGGTAGAGTGGGTGGACGCCAGAGGAACAAGAGAACTGTGTGGGGATAGTGGAATCTGGAATACTACAGAGCAGCCGTCAGCAGAGCTGAGGGACCTTGACGAGTACCAACTCTGAGACAGCCAGTGACAGCTGAGTTAGGATCAAAATGCAGTAGGCTGCATATTTGCAGGGGGTTTGGGTTCCTGAAGGGGCACGGCTTGGCTTTGCCAGACTCCTCACAGGTGAAGACAACTGCAACCATGCAAGAGTGACGAGAGTGGTTTGGTAGCACTGTTGCTGCCAGCTGGGAGGAGAAAAAAGGGTTTTTTCCAGTACCATTCTATTTGAAATGTCAGCGATGGTAAGCACTCATTAGCTGCTCAGCGACTGCCCCCAATCCCGGAGCAGTTTGCCACCATTTTAAAAATACATGTGAAGTGCTTGTTTTGTACGGGTGTGTTGAAGGAAGACTATAGCTAAGCATAGGCAGATATGCACTACTTTTAAAAATAGCAACAACGGTGACACCACGGTAAAGGCTGCTTTGCCAATAAGGCGTGGGGCAAGCAAAGAGTGTGGGCTAACCCATCTTCTTGACAGGGAAGCAACTGTTCAATCCAGCATTTGACTTGTAAATATATTGCATGGGTTGGGGAGCTTCGGCCATACTGCTTTTGGGGACTATGTCTGTCATTACCTCTGGATTGTTTTGGGTGTTTTAAACTGCTACACTGAGTTAGATACAGCCTTGTTGGAACTGTAGGGGAATGAAAGAATCAGTGGGATCTTGCCAGAAGATGACATGGCTTGGATGGGTTAGGTCAGCCTTCCCAACCAGGTGCCTCCAGAGGTGGGCTGGAAGTCCCCTAATTCCCAGCCTGGGTGGCCAATGGGAATTGGTGTCCAATGTCTCTGGAGGGCACCTGATTGGGGAAAGCTGGGTTGGGTGCTCTGCTTGAGTTAATGTTGGAACTATCATTACTGCACACCTCTCCCTGGAGTAGAAATGAACCAGCCCACATAGGACAGTTCCACCATCCAGCCAAAAGGAGTTTTTCTTCTCGGAAGTGGAGCCCAGGGATGCCCCATAAAGGGATGGGCTAGCCTCTGTATTCCGGCCCCCTTTCAAAAAGCCCGTTGATGGAGAAGGCGAGTGGTTTTCCCCGGTATTTCGCACCCTCCACCCCGCCCCTTTTTTCTCTCTTGTTGGACTGAACATTTGCTTTGCTGTGTTGCTCGGAGCTGGAGATTTTCTTGTGGTTCTTGTGGGGACTGATGGGGGTTGTTTCCTTGTTGCTTCCCCTTCCCGACATGTGTCAATAAACAAGTGGAAATAGCGACTCCGTGTGGGAATGGCTGTCATTGTTTGCAGGGAAGGCTATGATGGTCTTTTCTTCTCCTGCCTTCAGCTTATAAGGCAACCTCAGCCCATAGGTCAAATCCAACCTGCCTGGTAGTCTCCTCCATCACTTGTGGTGGGCACAGGACTTCCCCTGACCCCACCCCTTTCTCTTGACTCCGGAACCTTTTACTTCCTGGTTCCTGTGGTGTTTCTTCATTCTCAAAGCTTGGATTGCCTTTCCAAAGGCTTCCTTCCCAGAAGTAAAAATGCTACAGTATGCTAGTATTTTGCCGCAACACTTTGTCTTCAGCCCTGCTCTCTACTGCAATGTGTTCTTAGAGAGCTTCTCTGAAATGGGATTCAGTCTGTGGTTTGCAAAGGCTTAACACTCCTGATATTTACAAGATCCAGGCAGAGCATTAGATTTGAAAAGAACAGGCTTCCGAAGCCCTCAAGAGCTCCTTTGGGCAACTCTGAGCAAATGTAATGGAAAAACAGCAGATTTTTCCAAGGATTTACCACCGTGGAATAGACATTCAAATGGGCACTAGTTCATGGTCAGTCAGACTCACAGCCTGAAGTTCTACTAATGCTGTTTTCCTTGCTGTCCTACATCCACCAGTCCCTTGAAAGCTACTTGGCTCTCATGAGCAGGAGGGAATGCTCAAGAGTAATCATGCCAACTGCCCAGGTCATTTCCCCATTCCAGAATCACAGAATAGTAGAGTTGGAAGGGGCCAAGAAGACCTAGATTCAACCCCTTGCTGGTGCAGAACTCCACATTACATCATCCAGGTGTAATCCAGGGCTTCAACAGAATCACTTGCCAAGGTGACTTGAAAATCCCCCAGAGCTATCAAAAGACTATTCAGATCCCTTAAACCCCTGGGTGGATCGTCTTAAGTGTTCTCCTGCCTCATGGAGGCTTCAAGCCTCAGTATGTCTAAACCTCACTGGGTTACAGTCTCTTCATGCAGGAGATTTCTGATAGAAAGTTTGTCATCCATAGTTCACCATCATCCCACCCAAAATGAGAAATTAGATCCAGATGTGCCCTGCTGAATGAATGGAGTCACATATGAATTGGGATATAGAACCACTTTTTTCATGGAGGCCATGAAGTTCCAAGCCACTCCTGACAAGGCCACCTTGGCAGGTATTGTACAGTCCCCCAAAACAACAAACCAGGTGGACACTTGCAGAACCTTGAAGACTCTCTTTGGTCCACTGTTGAGCAGGGAGGCCAATGTTATGCAACCAAATCCTTATTCTGAATACCTGTTTTCAGGTATGCATACCCAGCACCCCCCCCCCCCTGCTAAAATCACAACAGACCAATGCTACTCTGCCCCCCAGGTCTTGCCTGGTGTAGGATGGAGAGCCCGGCTGGGCAAAGCTGGGAGAGATGCTCACTTCCAGGCTCATCCAGCTGGATCCAGCTGGGGTCAAGCCCTGGAAGGCTGCTGCATTGCCACCCACAGACCTGGCATTACGCCACAGTATCGTCATCCTGGGGCACTGTAAGCAAGGCACTTGAGTGCTCTGAAGTGGGACACAGTACAGGAGTGGCCAGCACCCAGTTACATCACCGGCCCCATGGTGACCCAACTGCCTCCTCGCTCTGTAGTTGCAAGGACTGCTCTTTGTTCCTCTTCACTTCCCTCCCTTTCAGAAACCCACCTCTCCTGCCAGCAGACAATAATTGCAGTGCTGATGTGAACACACACAGAGAGGAAGGCCAATGTGAAAAACAGCAATCATTTCTGGTCTCCTATCTCCAACAAACAGGATGGACCTCCCTTCCTTCAAAGTGGCTCCCCACACACGGTGTGGTGCCTGGCCCATTCTCTCATTTGCCAGCTCTGAGAGGCAAGTCCGTGTTATGATCTCCTCTGAGGCAGAGTGGGGGCGAAGGCTCCATGCTTTCACCCCAAAGTGAGATTTGCAAGGGAGATTTCTCTCAGCTCCTTGCCTTGGGCATCCTTTGCATCGTCTAGCAATCAGTTGAGGAACAGACCAGTTTGAGGAATGGCTAACGCTTCCTTGCAAATTACCAGTGGTGAGCAAGCATGCCTTACACCAGACGCTTCCTTCTACATCCATCCCCAGGAGGAGGAAGGTGTAAACTGGTCATCCAGAATGATTCACCAGGGTGATTTTGTGCATGTTTACTCAGACTTCGTTTTCTTCCTAAGTCCCACTCACTTCAATGGAGCCGATTCCCTAAGGCAGCCTTCCTCAACTTGGATATACAACTCCCATCTTCCCAGGCAGTCTCTCACTGGGTGCCCTCCAGATGTGTCAGCCTACAGCCATTGGCCCTGCTGTCTGGGGTTGATGGGAGTTGCAGTCTGACACATCTGGAGGGCACTAAGTTTAGGAAAGCTGTCCTTCCTCAGCCTGCAGCCTCAGCATAAGCCACAGGCAATGCACTCCCTCACTTTGGGGAATCTGAAACCCCAATTACTTAGCCAGGAGTGTCACTTGGGGCCAAACTCCAAAGGACATTAAACCCAGCACCATGGCTACTATTTCCCGAAGTGAAAACAGTATCCAGTGGGAAGCCTAATCAATATTTGGAGTATGTTTAACCTTTTCCAGCTTTGGGGTGGTCCTGATGATAATTGCCTCCCTAAGTGGAGGGTGGCGTATCAGTGGAAACTTCTCTTTTGTTCCAAGTGGTTGGAGACAGGAATGGGGAAGGGGGGAACTTACACCTCTATCAAATCACCTGGGAGAAAATTAACCACCCAGTTCTTTGATAAACACTATGTTCTCACTTTCCCATGCTCCACAGCAGTTGAAGTGACTTGTGAAAGAGTTCCATGTAGGTTGGTGCAACGGTAGCATCCTTTATCAAATTACTCTGAAACCAAGTTAAAGGTTGCTGTTTGCTTCAGTTTTCTGCTTCGGGTGCAGCCAGTTAGTTTGGGTTGCTTTCAGACTGAGGATGAAAAGCCAAAGTATACACACCTGACTGCTCTGTGGGCAGAAATTTGGAGCCATTTTTCTCTCCCTCCCTCTAAGCAAACTCTCTTATAGTTAGTACCAACCTCATTCCACCCCTGCCTGCCATACCTCTGCTCAAAGATGAAGTAACTGAAATATCAAGGTATGCTTTCCATTGGCATGGCAGATTTTATGGAGAACAAGCTGATAACGACCAAACCAGACATTATAAGAGATGCTCAGAAGTTGGGCCACACTTCAGCAGAGCTGTCTCTCCAGGACAGTTTCCTCCAACCTGTTCTCCTCCGGATGTGTTGGACTACAACTCCTAGCAACCTCAGCCAGCACGGCCATAGACTCAGCAGAGGCCTTTGGCCTAGTGTTCAAATGAAGAGGTAAACTTATCCCTTGGATGTACCACCTGAGATGCCGATGGGGGGACAGTCCTCCTTGAGTCCTCCTGCACAATAAAAATAAAATTACGAATGCCTCATGTCAAAAACTAGCATGGCCTGCAAAAAGCTGCTTTGGTGCCCTTCCTGTGGCCCTATTTTTAATACACAGGGGCTGTCATTATTTTTTTTTTTAATGTATGCAGGAGCAATCAATCCTTGCAGCCCTCATCTGCAGTGTGACGTAGAATGGGCCTGCGTGGCTCTGCTCCAGACTTCTGCGCGGAGAGGGCCGGTCGCTGGTGCAAAACGCGAAGCGGAAGAGAGGCATTTGCAAGCGGAATGAGCATCCCAGCAGACGTGGGTGCTTCCGTTCGCGATCCAGGTGGCCTTAAGCAGCTACATGTGGGGAAGCGGAGGGGAGGAGAAGCCGCTCTGCTTGGAGTGGTGGCCCCGTAAACTCTGTTGATGCTGGCTGATTGCTGAAGCCGTCGCTCTCCTGTTCCGTATGTGTCCTTCGCTTTGCTTGTTCTTTTGTTTTCCCCCTGCGGCTGCCAAGTGGCCAGCTGGAGGGTCTCTCTGTACCTTTGCAGTGCCTTCCGTCCCCATCTGTTCTCCTCCTCCACCTGCTGTGCGGTGCACCTGGCATCTTGCACGCTGCAGCAGCGTAGGGACGGATGGGAAATGAGGAGAACCGGCACGGAGCAGGCAGGGGGAAGCAGCCACGGCTGCCCTGTCATTCAGCACATCAGTAAGTTTAAAGGCACACAGCAAAAATCAGCTGGGTCGTGCTTGGCAGCCCTCCATCTAACTTTGCTTTGGATGCTAAATAAATTCTTGTTTTAGCCCTGTGGTGCTGGTGGCATGAATGAGTCTTTAACAGCGGCCAGAGGAACAGAAATTAAGCAGGTGAAGTGTCTACCACCATCACATTATCTTTTTGCCAGGAAAAGCTGAAGTCATTAAGTGGGTGCCTTTTGAAGACACTGCTGTTGGGCAAAGCCAGTAAAAAGAAGAGTTGACAACCTTCGTGCTTGACTTTTTAAGAACCTGAAAGCTAGGCAGGTTTCTGTAAGTCCAATGCCTGTAGCAGGATGGGAGCTTTAGCCCAATACATCCGGAGAGCACCAGGTTAAGGAAGACTTTGAAAGGAACAGGAGTGGTGCCCCTTTTGGCATGGGGACCGTCTTACTTGGCCTTCACCAACTTGGTGCCCTTCTGATGTCTTGGACTGCACACCCCAACATTCCTGACCATTGCCATGTTGGCTGGGGACGATGGAAGTTGGAGTCTGAAAGCAGCAGAAGGCATCCGATTTGGGAAGCTTGCACTGATGTGATCTTAATTTATTTAGTCAGAACCAGCTCTGGAGTATAAGATACCACTCTTCCCCGTCCTGCTTGAGCAGCTACACTTGTCTCGATCCCCTCTTCCACAGAATGCCTACTGTCTCCTGGTGGCTGGTTGCCAAGTCTAGGATCTGTTTGCCTGCTTGTATTTTTATGCAGAAGGCGACAAATTCCGCCCATGTTGTGGCAGGCCCACGGTGGGGAAATCGCACAGGACAGAATCCTCCTCACCCACTCCCCATCTCTAGCAGGCTATTCCATGTAGGATGCCCTTTGCCGGGACCGAAGGCTAGGAAGAGATGGTGGCT